CTCCAGGATATTATTTTTTTAATGGTCAAAGATTACTAAATCCCATGGATCCCAGGGCCCCTGATGGAGGCATCCTTTTAGTGTCTTACTTGAACTGCTGTAAGATGTAAAATCTGTGTATCCACTTAAATATTTATCTATTTCTTGCCTGAGGTTTGGGCAGCATGCAGGTTTCCTTTAGTAATGGAATTGTGACTTATAAAGAAGCATGTACTGGAAACTCTTGTTCTTTGTATATTGAACATAAATAGGTGTGTTTCCCTTAGCTGGTAGACAAGAGGAAGTTGTGATCATTTCCTTGAGAAACATTAACCCAAGTCCCCACCCAGAGATGGGTCACTGGTGATTGTTTCTTTTGGATGAAAGGAGGAGGAACAAAACAAAATAGGAGAGAGGAAGGCAATAAAATGAAAATCTGAGCTCTCTCCCGGATATGTGGGTGGATAAGTGGGGCCTGGCTTTGGAAAACTAGTATTTCAGGAAAGTCCATTCCTTTGCTCAAGGTATTATTACTCACCCACGTCACCATTGCCAACTCCTGAATGTGAACAGTAGATTAAAGAAGGTGAAGAGGACCCACTGACTTACACTTAAAACTTGTCCGCTGTTCCTGACATGGAAATGTGACTTTCTTGAGATTCAGGCAGAAGAGGTTTGTGCACATGATTTCCAAGCTTTCTTCCAACTCTTCTGGCCTCCATGCTTTCTCTCCATTCCAATTGACCAGCCCCACTGTTAAAATTTTTGGCTCATGGAAATTTTGTAGAAGCAGAGGAAAATTCTGGAGATCTCCCCTGAAGTATGTCCATATCCACAATATTTGTGCACACTTCAGGTGGGTCATGAGCCCCTCTGAAGCTACTGTTGTAAATCCTTACCATCTAATCTGCTCAAAAACCTTCAAAAACTCCCCATGGCCTACCAAATACATGCTTAAGACCTGTTGGCTGCCTTTTAAAGCGCCCCACACTATGTACCCTACCTATCCTTTCAAGAGCATCTCCCAAAATTCATTTATTTAGCTTTACAGGTAATAAACATCTATTCCTTACAAAACATTAAAGTTATACATTGTAGGCATAGGTGTATGTTCATGTATACATGCAAATATATCAATCTCAGAATATATAAATACATGATATTATAATATATACAGAAATATATCTGATATATCTAATAATACATTACAATAATATATAAAATATAAAACATATTAGAAATGGAAGAATAACAAAGGTGTATAATATACAGGACTTGCTCACTATTATTGCTTTATAATTTGCATATATTATCTCTGCTACTATATTATAAGCTATAAGGTAGGGGGAAATGTGTTTTATCTATCTTTGGTTAACCGAGGGTCCTCAGAATAGTGTCATGTATAGAATAAATGATCAGTAAAAGTTCAGAGAACACATAACATTCTTAATTAGGAATTAAATTGACAGGTTAAGGAGACTATGTACACCAATAGCTTTGATAAATTATCAAAGCTAAGTTAAACACCCTCTGTAGGGAATACTTAATGCCAACTTCCTAGAATAGAGATAAACTATATGGGGAAAAGCAGCTCTAAAAACTTTTGTAAAAACAAACCAGAATCCTATATGGAGAGAAGAGTAACCATAGAGCAATTTATATAGAATATCATGCTTGTAATTAAAAACTCAGCTTTATTGTCACCCTTTCAGAAACTATTCAGTCTAAGGTAACTAATTTCTAGCACACTCCTCTATTTTCATTCTTTGCATATCACTTATAACCATCTGATATTTTTCCTTTTCAGCTGATTGATTGATGAATTGATTGATTTTTAAATTGCTTGTCTCCTCCCACTAGAATGTGAACTCTAGAGGACCAGGGACCTTGTGTGACTTGTTTCCTCGCTATAGACACAACTATACACCTAGAGCTATATCTTGCACAAAGCTGGTGGACAAATAAGTACCTGCCAAATAAAGGAACACATTCACAAAAATAATACTATGTATTATCTATGGATGTTTATGTACCTTTTCAAAAATATAAAAGGTATTGGAAGGGTAAACAAGAATTTTTGGGGGTGGGATAAGTATTGAGCGGTCAGAGTCTTGGAGGATAGAACTCAGCACGGTAGTTAAAGGAGACTTTACTTACATGAGAAATGGTTTATTTCTTTAAGAAAATAGACAAGAAGCACGAGATGACAAATATTAACTATTCTGGTGGTGAGAATTTGAGGGTCTGTTATATTGCTTTTTGTACTTTTCTCTATCTTTTAAATTTCTCAAAACAATTTTTTTTAAAGGTCTGAATAGAGAAGAGTGAATTTATCCTAGCTTTACAGGATCTAAAGCTCTCTGATGTGCTGTTACCTATACTTGATCATTACAGTAATTCTGACGTAATTATTACCAGCCTTATTTTATACAGGAGGAAAATGAGACCAAGCTTGATAAGGGGGCTTGCCGATAAGGGCAATGCTCTGCTGAGAACCTGACCTAGGGATGATTTCTCTTTCAAGAGATAACATCACTGCCCCATCAAATATGAGGGCTAGACCAGAGGTAAAAAAAAAAAATTAGCTTTGAGGCCAACAGGCAAGAGAACTAGAAGAGTTAAAACTAAATTGACGAACAACAAATAGGTAAATATTTTAATACAAATAGAAAATATGCCTCACATGATCTTAGGCAAGTTGCTTCAAATTTTAAGGCTTGTTTTCCTCTCCTATAAAATAGGGTATTTACTTACCTCATTCGATTCTTTTTTTTTTTTGCACTGGGTCTTAGTTGAGGCTCGCGGGCTCCTTAGTTGTGGCTCGCCGGCTCCTTAGTTGCAGTACATGGGCTCCTTAGTTGCAGCAGGCAGGCTCCTTAGTTGCGGCTCCAGGGCTCCTTAGTTGTGGCTTGCCAGCTCCTTAGTTGTGGCATGAGAAGTCTTAGTTGCAGCATGCATGTGGGATCTAGTTCCCTGACCAGTGATTGAACCCAACCCCCTGCATTGGGAGCGTGGAGTCTTATCCACTGCCCCACCAGGGAAGTCCCATTACCTCATTTGCTTCTTGTGAGCATTGTATAATTTATGTATTTATGTATGACATAAACTATATTATATATAAAAGACACAGCGCAGTATCTGGCACTTAATAGATTGTTCAATATTTGTTTGTCTCCTCTCAGTTTCTTATGCTGCCATGTATTATGTTGAACAGTTAGAAACTGCCTTTTTCTTTTAATAAAAATCATTGAATATGGGCAATTTTGTGAGGTTCATGCTGCTACTCTTTGAATGTGACCTCTGATAACAACCATCTGCTACCTCATCTTGAATTCACACGTGAGGGAAGCGCAGAGCAGAGTTTGAATAAGACTGATGATTGTTTGGGGCTTGGGCTGGAGAGTCTATTTGCAAGGATAGATAAAAGCGATTTGCAAGTGTGTAAGGAGGAGAAGGATAGTCCAATTGGCAGAGAAGGGTTTACATAATCAAGGTGAGGCAATTGCAAGCTAGACAGCTGCTCAAGAGCTTTTGGCACTAAAATATATTGACCAGCTGGGATATCATTAATGCTTAACAGTTTTATCCTCATGACCATACCTTGGCCAATTAGGTTGTCTTTGACCACCGAAGGGTATGATATATTCTGATGTAAATGCCACATGTGTATCTGTGTAGCACGTATCCTGTTGCTTTGATGTGTTGTAGAATATACACTAAATATAAATGCATTCGTTTCTTCAGAACACAAGGTTAAATGGTGTGATTAAAGAGGAAAAGAATTTAAATAGGCATTAATTTCTTTTAAAAAACAATTATTATTCTGAGAAATACTTTTTTGTATATTCTGAGAGTAAAGGGATTCAAATAAAATTATTTTTAAGGTGAATTTTTAGAGAATGATTTTAGAAAAAGAAATATGGGTAAGGAAAGCCAGTTCTGCACATTTTTCATACAAATAAATACAGACAGGAGAAATGTAATGACTAAAAGACAGTGATTGAAGGACCTTAACAGAAAGCTGTTTGCAGTGTTAAAAGAAACACTTGGACCAGTGTCATTAGCCTATGAAGCCGTTTCAGAAATGCTCTTACTAGGCAATTTCCCAATAGTGTCTTTAAATTATGGGACAGGCAAAACAAATAAGGACAAAATATAAGACAATTGAATGCCACAACATTTCCCAGAATGCTTCATACACTAAAATTTAATACGTTAGAATATTTGGAATATTTTCAGAATTTGCAACTGTGACATTGGCAAATAAAATTTGTAATACGGAGTTTTTATACAGTAGCAAAAACACAGTCATCCAAACACAGAACCCTTACTAAACTACCTAATCCAAAATGCATGTGGATAAGGATTTCACCTGTAAATTGTTTTTTAAATTTTAAATCATTTGCAGTTTATTTAATTTGACATCTACTGGAATCCCTTGGTCACTTGCATCAGCATTTCTGGATTAACCTTTAAACCTGGTACTGGTCATATATTCTTCCTTCCCCATATTTTAAGTACTAGTTTGGCTACTGATGACTGTTCCTTATCCCTATGTAAACCACTAAAAGTAACGTCAATGTTCCTTCTTCAAAGCTGGAGATCTGACATCAAGAATTTTATATGGGGAGTATCAAAAATAAGGAGGCAACCAAACAAGTTACTCCTTCTATCTATGGAACTACTTAATCATCTGATAGAAGTCAAACAAAACACGGCCTGAGGGCAAAGGCAGCTATAAGTATGAGGAATCCTCTCTACAAATACCATACAGATATGTATATATACATGCATATACATATATGTATAAATATATACATATAGTTTTCTGCTAATGCTTTGATAAGCTATTAAAGAAACCCATTTTTATGGTCTAGTTTCTTTTCCTTCTTCAGATGGAAGGCTTTTACCAAAACTTGTAGACAATAGATCATGTAATATTAGTAGCGGAAAGGACCTTATCTATCATCGAGTTCAAGTCCCTCCTTTACAGATGAAAAATTTAAGGGGGAGAAAGCTTTTGCAACTTGTTAACATCCCTCAGCCAGTTAGCGGCAGAGTCAAGACCAGATCCCAAATGCGCACCGATAACTAGATGAATGCCTCTAAATCGTTCTTACTTTGTAAACCACATTTCTCTTAAAATATTACACACCCACGTAACATTTCAGACTGAATAATCAGCAACTTTGCTGATAATAGTGGGATGGCTTTTTTTTATGTTGAAAGTCCTGGGATAAAGGGATCCTGGACGTGAAATTCTGCCTGAAAGCCAGCCTGTTCGGGGTGGCCATGCTGTTGCTCTGTCTTCACCTTGCACTGACACTCCTCCACCAGCATCACCAGCTTGACCACGGGGGCCAGGCCAGTGCAGTTGAGCTGCAAGTGCATCGTGGTGAACTTGTCAGGCAGGCAGTGGGAGCAGAAGGTGTAGGGGTGCTGCGCAGCTTCAGGAAAACGAACAGACCCGCATTTTCCAAAGCAAAGGTTGTTCTGTACAACCACTTTCTCACAGTCTTCATGGGTGATAGTCTAAAAGGCAAACACATCTCCATTAAATTACCTTGAGTCATTTCTTTACCATACATGATGCCGAAGCTATAGACTGTAAGCGAGGATAACTTAGACTAAAATTTAAAAGTCTTTCCAGGGACTTCCCTGGCAGTCCAGTGGTTAAGACTTCGCACTCCCACGACAGGTGGCACAGGTTCGATCCCTGGTCAGGGAACTAAGATCCCACGTGCAGTGCAGTGGCCAAAAAATAAATAAAAAGATTTTAAAATCTTTCCAATGTTGGATACAGTTTGCAATAATCAAGTGATGGCATCTTAAGAGCGTGGAGCTACCTTAACTAAATTTTTTATTGGATACATTAATAAATTAGCCTGTAGAAAATAACTAAGGTAATATGAAAATATTTTACTCTACACTTAAATGCCAAACTCTAAGACATTTTGTCTAATTGGGTGTTACCTGTCTGAAAATTCTAATGGTTAGCTTCTTATAAGTAATGTGCCTTACCCTTCTACTCTTCACAGTGCATTGTACAAAATAAATTCTCAATACATGTTTGTTCAATTGCTCATAGAATAGATCAGAACATCCAGAGTTTAATTCTGTCCTATTTTACAGCGCTTATAGTACATTCAAATCTATTAAGTTGCATGGAGCAAAGTTGCAGCACCTGTGCCTCTAAATCATCGTGCATGACATCATCTTTGCGTCTCCCATAACCCCATACACCTAGCTTTATGTGCCCTTCAAAATATATGAGCCAAACACCTTATTTTTAATTTAATTAGTGATAGAATTCAAAATAAGAGTTCAAAGGGAATTTGATTGCCCAATTCTTAGGAGCAATTTTTAAATTATACATGGGCCAACAAAGCAGTCATTATTATTTGATCACTGACTTGTCGTTGCTACATATCCTTGCCTTTTCAGAATACTTAACTGCCTTGCACAGTCAATTACCTTATAATACTGCCTGCTTAATTGTGTAGCTTTACTGGACTGTAAAATTTTACTCTATCCTGCATTGCTTTTGGTTCAGTATCTTTGTGTTTAAGGACCTGATGCAATTTCTCAATTTTAATTTAACATTTGGAGTGTGGGCTTTGCCAGGACTGACTGGAGGCAGTAGATAGTAGAATGCTCCTTTGTCTTAATAGTGTGGAATCAATCATAATAACTGCAAATCAGCCAACACAACATGAACTGGGAAACAGGTGTTTCTAAGAGGAGGAAATGTGATTTCACATCAAGATTACTTTTTGAAAGCTTATGAGAAAATACGTTAAATCATTTTTGTGATAGTAATGCTAGAACTAATATGGCAACTTCTGCCTGACAACCTCAACATATTTTATAGACCTATGAAGTAGGTGTGAAATACAGGGGTTAAGACCACCATACATGCATGTTTGGGGAGGAGTCCAATGTATCCCATCTTATCTACAGATGGAATCCACCTGTTCATCCATATCCTAATAGAGTGTAGAGATGTAGCTAGAGAGAAGTTCTAGTGATTGCTCTAACTTCCCAACTTACTAACTGGGGGTACAGTCTATTACCTCTCCAGATAAGACCACCCCGATGTAAAAATAAATAAATAAAACCCCATAAAACAAAGCTCTATGCCATCAATATGAAGTACCATCATACCATTCTTGCAGCATTTCCAAGGTTGGAAGGAAATTTAGGGAGTATGATCATACTTTGCCAAATCCACTGATGAAGGCCCAAGGACCAAATCTGGGAATGAGGTGAGACTCGGGCTCCTGGCACATTCGGCCCCTACTTTCCACCTGTCCCAGCTGTCCACCCCCTCCTGAAAACCTGGATCCCCTTCCCCACCCAGAACAAATACCTGGCTGAAGGGCACCGTCCTACAGGTCTCCCGATGCACTTCATGGCTTTTGATGGGCAGGATGATCCCCTGAGAAGCTGGACTCATTCTGAACATGAAATGGTGCCAGAATTTCTTGGCTTCCTCCCGAAGAGGAGATTTCTCCATTGGCATCCCATCCTCTGGCTGAGTGAGACCCTGGGTCCCAGGGAAGAACTGCTCACTGACTGAGCCCTGGGGTGGGTGCAGCTCTCTCTCAGGCTTCTTCCAGAATCTCCCAAACCTGGACAGCATCTTTTCTCTCTGCCTCCGACCTTCCCCTGCAGTGCTGGCACCTACTAGGTGTGGCACTGCCACAAACAGATCTGGCTTCTCCTCAGCTTCCTCATGGTTGCCCAAGGAGAGCTCTCTGCGATGCCTTTCTAGGAGCAAGAGAGAAACAGAATTCTGACTCTGGCGGCCATCCCCGTGCCTTGCAGCTTTCCCTAGAGGCAGGAGTAGCAACAGCTGAAGGAAGTGAAGATGCATGCTGTCGGGGCCGAAGCTTCTTGCAGATTCACAGATGGTGAGGCCCCAAAAGAGGTTCACTCTCTGCAGGACTGTGAACAGGGAGATGCTATATATAGATACCTGCCTTGTAGGATGGGAAGGCAGGTGGTCAGTAGCCAGGCAGAGTAAACACATTCCTTGTTTGCTTGAATTATGTAGTGCTAATGGTGTCCTGCCTTCATTTTGGTTTTGTGTATTTTAGAAGGCCTCAGTGAAAGCCGGGGACCCAGGGGGTAATTAGCTGACACTTTATCGTCTGAGATTTAAAGAGCAGTATTTGTGAAAACAACACATTCTTTGCCCGGATTTCCCATCACTGTTGTTAGAAGGACCAGAGTGAGGTAATATTTGTGGTGCATCTGCTTTGTGCTGGGATAGAACAGACATGTTTTAAGGAGAGAAGTATATCAGATAAAAATTAACGCATACATTTAGCCAAAGATCAGGTTGTTAGGCTCTACACACACACACACACACACACACACACATGCACACGCACACACACACAGAGAAGCAGCCAAAGAAGTATATAAAAGTTGTAAGAAAGGGAAAGGAAGAAATAGAGGGATGTTAAGTTCGTTGAGCAGAGGACAATCCCTGTTACTGAGATGTGGTTAGGGTTGTTGATTTTTGCATAGTAACAGTAAAGGGAGTATATTCTCCTTTTCCACACATGGAAACTCACAATTCCCAAGTAATCCCCTCACCTTAAGAATCAAATACTTGGTGCTAAATTTCACAACTGGTCAATCATCAGATAAGCTTTTTCAATTGTTCACAAATTTCTCAACAGGATCCTAAGTAATAGACTGACAGCTCATTAGCCCTCACTGAGGATGGGGAAGTGTCTTTCCCTCAAGCCACCCTACTGACTTTTTTTTTTTTTTAATTTCTCTAAACAAAGAGCCAGACTTGAGAACGTGGATTCTAAGAACCAGGTTTGATAGCTCTGGGCATGAAGCTGGCTGGTCCATTCTTTACCTTACAGAATCCACATCATCTTTATTCTGCAGTAATTGATGACCAGGTTAAATAAAGATGAAGGCAAACATGACTCTTCAGGGATCAAAGGAAAATTTGTTAGATGACTATCATTCAAAAATGTTATAAATCAGATGAGGGTATGAGAAAGGAACACATCCACAAAAATGGAACCCTAGAGTTGAGTCCAAGCTACCCTCTACACTAACTGAACAGTATTTCCATTGGGAATTGACTCAGTACTTGCTTGTATTTCTCCCCTTTTAATTTAATCACCATATTGTTTGCTTTCAGTAACACACGTAAGCCTGGAACATGCCCCTCTCTTTTTTTCAGTACCGATTAATCTTTCTTTCCAAGAAGTGATCCATTTGAAGATTTTTTTCAGACACTAGTGTTCTTCTTAATAGTCAGGCACGATTTCTGTGAGACAAAGCGTCAAGTCCTTTTACCTACAATAATGAATTATTTTTAAATGAACCATCATTTTCCCAGAAATCTATCAGAAGAGATATACTTTACTTGTACCAAGTACCCATAGAACCTGTGCTAGTATTACTTAAGGTACAATTGATTCATACTAAATGAACATTAGTATTTGCCATTTCTTTTCAAGTGCTTTTTAAAAGTTGCCTGCTGTTTGAATTTCTTAATTTCCCTCAGCCATCCAATGCAATAGGCCTTCCAGAGCTAGCCACTCTAAATATAAATTACATAATTTATATTAGCTGACCACTTAATTATAAATATGGTGTGGGAGCTAACTATGATATGTTTCCTGATTCCTTTTAGACTTTACGTTTTCGTGCCTGAAGTTCCACTGCCATCAATCACAGTTTTTCCCCAGACTGAAGACTATTCCAGATATTCTACTCGGGGTCTCAGGTTGCTTGTCTCTGAACATAGGGTACAATTCAAGTAATTTCTTTTGAATTAAAATTTGTAGAAGACTCACTTTGTGAGCCAAGCATCATATTAGATACTAGAATATGATAGAAAATGATGAAAACTTACTTCCTGCCCTCAAGTAGTCTAGTGGTATCACACATTTTATAACTTTATTAAATTAGCTGTGGGGATGTCAGTTATGCATATTTATCCTTTCCTTAGTCCTAAACCCCTCTTCTTCTGATACTAATTTTGGTGTTTATAAATGTCATTTAAAAATTACTCATGGAGCATTTCCTTTTGCTGTTCTGTCAGTCCTGTTGAGAAAATGTGCAAATATCTTGAAGGGTAAATCTAGCAAAGTAAAGCCTTCTGTGACGAGTACTACGGTACAGGAGTCTATCTTCAACCCCTGCCTTTTACAGTTAACAGCAGATGACATTCTCCTTTCACCACTGTGTCCTTACATCAGTTCTAAAGCTGTGTATGTGGTACATTATAGTTTACGCTCAAAAACATAAACATTTTGGTGTGGGTCTTCAGTCATACAAGCATACAGTGACCTCTCAATTTGGATGAAGCCAAATGGAGATATAGGTGTGGAGGGGGGTCTCCAGACACAGCAGGCAGCTGCTGTGTGGAGAGAGCACCACAAATTGCTGGTGTCCTTAGTACCAAATGCCACAGCGGAAGGCAGACCTGAGCTTTCATGAGCCCAAGTCTGCCTAAATCTGCTTTCTGGGACCACCTCAAGCCTTCATGCGAGCCAGAGGGTCCAATCTCATCCTTCATTCTTTCCGATTTATAACGCATGCTCCGCATGATCTGAACTCTGAGTTCAACTTGACCTGGCTTCCTAGGCACTAGGATGTCTTCAGGACTCTGTGGAGCTCCCAGTGTGCCTGTGAGAGAACAGTAACAGCTATGTTTTCCTGTCCCTCTTACAGACTCTCAGAAAGGAGCTAAAAGCAGTCCAGTGCTCTCTAAGGGGAAACAGAGTAACTCAATTCTTTTGTAAAAACCCCAGACCTAAATCAACAAAAGGTGAGAGGCAGCGTTGGGGTAGGAGATAGGCATTAGAGTTAAAACTGAGAGACAGAAAGGGGAATTTGGGCTGATGGTTTTGTGGAAGAAATCTGTCTAGGGTACATGCCATTGCCTCAAAACTCTCTCTCTTTTCAAAATAGAGAATAACCACAGGACCATGGGAGTTTAGATTATTTAAAAAGAACTCAAAAGAAGGCAAAATCTTTCTCTTCTTTTCCAAAGGACAAGGAAGACAGCAAATTAGGGTACGTGGTTTCCCCTTAAACCTTTTATCATGATTTAGTTTAGTAAACTATTTAAAACATAGTTCTCTCTCCCTCTCCACTCCCCTCCTTTCCACTTTCTATGGAAAGAAAACATTAGGAAGGCCTACCTCCTACTTCACTTATTGAACTCATGGATACACTCATTCATACAGCATATATCTGAGTGCCAACTCTGTGCTAGGTCCTGAGGATAAAATAGTGAGGGTGTCCTTGTCCAGGCCTAATGAAATTTGCAATCTAGAGGGAGAGTAAAGTTTATTCAAAATGAGTTACACAAAGAAAACCTAGGCAGACAACATTCCTAGCACTAATCAGGGACTTTCAGGTAGATCCAAATCCCAAAGGCACCGTGGACTGTCACACTGTGTTTCTACTAATTTTATTCAATAAACATTTGCAAATAAGTATTGCACCAGGTAGTGCAATAGATGTCATGCAAATTTTTTCTTTTATTTTTGATTAGGTAATAAATAGGTGTAGCAACAAAATTGAGATTACACAAAAAATTGTATGGTAAAAATTAAATCTTCCTCTGAACTCCCAGGCTTCCTGTCCTGCCGTGGAGGCCATCAGTGTTGTCAACTTATTTATATTCAATCGTTTAAAATTGTTACCGCTTATGGGCTGAATTGTGTGTTCCCCCTAATTTACATGTTGAAGTCATAACCCCCAGTATCTCAGAATGTGACTGTATTTGAAGATAGGGCCTTTAGAGAGGTAACGAAATTTAAATGAGGCCGTTAGGGTGGGGCTTCATCCAACAAGGCTGATGTCCTCATAAGAAAAAGAGATTGAGACAAAGACACACACAGAGGAAAGACCATGTAAAGACATAAGGGGAAGACGGCTGTCTACATTCCCAGAAGAGAGCCCTCAGAAGGAAACAACCTTAACCTTGACTTTGGACTTCCAGCCTCTAGAACTGTGAAAAAATAAATTTCTACTGTTTAAGCCACCAAGTCTGTGGTACTTTGTTATGGCAGCCGTAACAAACTAATACATCACTCAAAGAGAAAAAATATATAGACAATAGAAAAGGACAAATACCAAATGCTGTACCATATTATAAAATTTCCCCATTTCCGCTCTTTGGCACTGATCTCAGCATTACATTTTAAGGTCAGATTATTCTGTTAGCAGTTTCAGTGATCTTATTGCTCTCTGTCCAAAACACTCCCACACCGTAAAGAAGCATTTTACTTTTTGCAACTGGGGATGTATCTACTACTATGCACAAGTCATGGACAATACCTAAATTTGACAAATAAGCTACTTACCAGGATTGCATAGAGGGCTCCTACAAATCTGAGAAGGAGGCCAAGGCGGCCAAGGCGACTTCACTATGTGCCCCACCATCCACCATCCATCGATCCCCCACTGCCTACAGCCTCTATTTATAGCTAGTCCAGGATGCCTTCACTGATGATAAACATCTGTCATGCTCCTTCTTCCTAATCCTTAAAATTTACCTGGATCATTTCTCATTTTGCAGAAAGCTGCTCTCAGAAAGAGTAATGTAAGTGGGAGTAACTCCAGATTTGAAGCCAGAAAAACTTTGGCTCGGCCTGACAGTTTATTAAGCCTCATGATCTCAGGTGCTTAACTTCATGTCCCTAAACCTTGCCAGAAAGAATACCACCTGCCATGCTTTCCTCATCTGGCTCATTGCCTTCCTTTTCACCCCAGATCCTGTTATTACCCTGGGTAACTTTAGGATTCACATGGATGGGTCTGACCAATAACACGCCACCAGTATTACATGATGTCCTATTCAGTACCCTGGCTGAAATCTGATGATTCCACTCCATCTGG